TAGTGCGGCGCATGCGCAAATCCGGCCGCGGCGGGGTGGGGAGCGGGGCTGGCTGTTGGCGATCCTTCGGGGTCGGCCGTCTCGGGTGTCCCTGCTTGGCGCCAGGCGTCTGTCTCCTTCCTGCAGGGCGTGTTAAGGAGTCCGCGAGGTGAGGCTTGTTCGAGGCCTCGAGCGCGAGGAGGGCGGAAGCGGGCTTATTGGGCTGGGTCCCCGGTCGCCACTGCTGCCTTGGTTGGCTGCACTCCTCTACTTTTATGCAAGTGGAACACAGGTGGTTTAGGTTTCTTTTTCTTTGCGGTGCTGGGGATTGAACCCAGGAGTTTCTCAGGGAGCTCCATCTCCAGCCTGTTTGGTGTTTTTGAAACAAGGTATCGCTAAATGGTCCAGGCTGGGTTCAAATTTGCGATCCTCCAGCCTCAGCCTTCCGGAGTGCTGGGATCACAGGCGTGGCCGTCACACCCCGCGTAACTTTTTTTATTTTAACCAAAATCTCCAGATGCTGGGCATTTCATACTGAATAACGAGCGTTGCTCTAGGTTGAAGTTCTGTAAACTTTGTTTTACAAAGAGCCGGTCTGCAAATATTTCAGGCTCTGCGGACCAAGAGGCAAGAGTGGGATCTTATCCAGGCACCTACATAATCAAAGGGTACGGTCTGTAAGATTTTTAGTGCGTGAATTTAGCCAGGTGCGATGGAACATGCCTGCTCCCACTTCTTTGCAAGGCCGAGGCAGGAGGATGGCAAATTTGTGGCCAGCTTGAGCAACTTAGCAAAGCCTAGTGTCAAAGTACAATAAAACAGGCTGGGGTGTGGCTCAGAAGTGGGACACTTGCCTAGCACCTGCGAGGCCTTGAGTTCCATTGCCAGGGGTGAAATTAAAAGTAAATGAGTGGATTTTTTTAAAAAAAATCAAGTCTACTCCTGAGAAGAGTGGAATGCTTTTTTGGGAGGTAACGTTTTGCTCAGCTGGGGTTCCAAGATAGTCTTCCCTGTCAACGGCTTGCAGATACTCACCTGTGCCCCCAAAGCAGGCCTCCCAAGGGGTCCACCCCCTGGGGAGGGAGACAGCCCTACAGCCCTAACTCAGGAATGTCAGCAGGGAGGCAGTGTCAGAAAAGGACAGGACTGTGCCCGACAGAAGGAAGCCTCAGGGACAGGGTTGGCAGGCAGGGCGCTCCTGAGGTCTGTGCTGGGCCAGGCAGGAGCTGGTTGTGACTGCACCTTGCAGGCACAGGCGTGGGCTGTCCCGTTAGCGGGGGGGGGGGGTAGGAATGTCAGCAGGGAGGCAGTGTCAGAAAAGGACAGGACTGTGCCCGACAGAAGGAAGCCTCAGGGACAGGGTTGGCAGGCAGGGCGCTCCTGAGGTCTGTGCTGGGCCAGGCAGGAGCTGGTTGTGACTGCACCTTGCAGGCACAGGCGTGGGCTGTCCCGTTAGGGGGGGGGGGGGCTGGCCTCCGGGATTCCCTACTCACCTGGGGTCTGTGTCGCCGATGGAGCCAGATCTGAGAACGGCTCAGCAAGCCACGCTTGGACACATCTGTGGGGCCTGCGGGTGCACGCCACTGACCGGTTCTCACTTCATTTGCTGTTTTACTTCTTGGCGTTGGGGATGGAACCTACAGCCCTCACACCAAGATACAGCCAACCCACTTTTTTTTTTTTTTTACTTTGAGACAGGGTCTCACTCCCCAGGCTGCACTTGAACTTAGGATCCTCCTGCCTTAGCCTCTCAGAGTGCTGGTTTTACAGGTGGGCACTTACGGTCTTTGGGGGAGGGTGGAGGCAGGGTCTTGCTTGCTGCATAGCCCAGGGTGGCCTCAGAATTTCGGCAACCCTGCCCCAGCTTCCCGAGCGCGAGGATTATGGGTATGCACCACCATGCATGAGTGGGGTCTCACTCGTAGCCCAGGCTGGCCTTTCCTGGCCTCAAGCGATCCTCTGACCACAGCCTCCAGGTGTGTGCTACAACACCTGGCATCACGTGGTTCTCACTAGGCTCTTTGTGCCAGAACAGGTTGATGAGCGTGAGTGTGTTGCCTTTTTTTTTGGTATTGGGAATCGTATTCCGGACCTTGCATGGTGCCACTGAGCTGAATCCCCGGCACCTCTGTTGCTATGTTAAGGCTGCAAAGGAACTGGGGTCATATTGGAGTCTCTTGGGTTGGATCAGTTCTATTTTAGGCCACTATCGAGTTGCTGGGCGTGGTGACGCACACCTGTAATCCCAGCACTTGGGAGGCCACGCAGGAGGATTACAAGTTCCAGCTCATTTAGGCAATCTGACAAGATCTGTCTTAATGACAGACAAAAGGGCTGGGGCTGGGCTCAGTGCAGAGGCCCTGGGTTCCAGGGCCGAAATGGCGGTGTGTAGAAGTCTTGTGTGTGGACTCCGGGCTTGCATGCACAGTACCCATCTCACTCAGCTGCTGTCTAGACGTTGCACATCCATGGGTACCACTTGTACATTTCCTGCAGTTACATACTGTGCATAGACAGGAAGCAGAAGGTCCCGGGGTCTCCCCCAGGGCACGCACCACCTGACAGTCCGTCCTGCCTAGGTGCCTGGCTGGCCTGGAACCTGCCAGCTGCTGTGACAGTGTCGGGAGCAGCTGGGGTGACGGGCATGTGCCACGGTGCCCGGCTCCCATGCTCACTTGGACAGGCACCCTGAGAACCCACGGTGCAGTCGAGCTGGTGCTGCAGAGGCTCTAGGACAGCACTGGGGAGCCGTGCTCTGAGCCTGTCCGGCACACCTCGAGGACACAGCCCCACTGGGCCCAGGCCCCTGGTCTCCTGCGCTGTACTCACGTGCTGACGGGATCAGAGGGGGGACCTGCAGGGTACAATTGGGACGAGGAAGGTCAGGGGCAGCCCTGTGTCCCCACAGCAGTCCCCGCACCTCGCTCTGGGACTCTGGTCCCGGGCACTGCATTGCGCAGGCAGCACAGAACACCGGGGAGCACAGCGGAGAGGGACAGACCCTACACACACTGCCCAGAGGGATCTGTCCTGGTCGGCAGCCGCAGGACACCACGCGTGCGTGCACACAGTTCAGGGAGCACACGGACTACATGACCGCGACCTTCCAGAGGTGGCAGTGTGGCTAGAGAATTGTCAGAGGGAGGACTGGCAGCGTGCTTCACTGCGTTTGTGAGGACGTCAGGACTCACTGCGTTTTTCCGGTTGTACCTCTGTACGGTGCAGGCAGGGGAAGAGCCCAGCTCGCTGCTGTGGGGACCTTGATGTGCAGGGTCCCAGCTTGGGGACGGACACTCCAGGGCGCGGGCCAGGCCTCTCCGCACCTCTGCACTCTAAGCATGCGCCCCGGTGGGCCTGGCAGATGCCTCCTGGGGACCACTGAGCGGGATGGAGCAGCAGGGAGCCTGGCTGTGGCCGGGCTGGGAAGAACCCAGCAGCTGTGGAGCTGGCGTCCAGCGTGTGCCTGTATGCCAAGGCCCTGGGCTCCTTCCCAGCGTCCCTCCTGTGCCAGGCGACAGGCCCTCGGGGTGCACTGCCCCACTCCAAGCTCGCATCCTAGGTGCGGTTTGCCATGTCTTCCATTCAATAAAACTATGTTAATAATGGAGCAGCTGTGGTTCCACCATTATTTATTTTCAGTGATGTCATTATTTGGTTTTTCTGGTACTGGGGACTGAATGTAGGGCCTTTTTTATTTTTTTGAACCAGGTGCCACTAAGTCACCCAGGCTGGGCTTGAACTTGTGATCCTCCTGCCTCAGCCTCCCAGTGCTGGGAATACAGGTGTGTGCCACTAATGACTTGGTCATGATTCCATTTTTATTCTACCAATTCATCAATTTATAAGTCAGTCGATTTCAAGAGTTGTCCCAGAAGAGAACAAAGGGCTGCAGAGCACAGGCGGGTATGGCTTGGGCCTCCCGGGGACCAGCACACTGCCCGGAGGCAGCGCCTATCATGAACTCTGTCTGTACCGCACGCACGCGCGCGCACACACACTCCTATGAACAGTGTGCACATCTGGGTCTGCAGACAGGTGACGACCGAGAGCGCGCGCCTACACCAGTACAGACACTGCAGGCTGGCCCGATGTATCTCGAGCGACTTCAGACAAGGTACTTGGAATGCCACGGAGCCTCGAGACTGCGAGCGGACACCTCAGAAATGCCCAAGCCTCAGTCCCCGCCAAGGTGTGGGGAGTTGGTGTCGCAGCCAGGACACTCGAGGGTGAGTGGGAGTGAACTCGGCTCTCCCAGACCCCAGCAGGCATAGGGTGCGGGGACAGTGCCAGGCCAGTGAGCCGCTTCGGCTGGACGCTCGCTGCGCCTCACAACTGTCGCGCCATCCAGCGCACGCACTTGCTGTGGGCTCGTGTACAGAATTTAAATACCCATTCATTACCCTAAAACCGTGATAAAACCAGACAGTCCTTTCTCCACAGCAGCAAATCTTTCGTTGGAAAAAACACATTAATACACGTCAGAAGCGCAGGGGCCCAGTGGGGCAGACTCACAGGCAGAAAACCATGGTGCAGGCCTTGCAAGGTTCTTTTTTGTGGTTTTTTTTTCGTTTGTTTTTTGAGACAGGGTCTCGCTGTGTAGTTCAGACTTGCTTGGAGTCACTATGGAGCCCAGATGGCCTTACTCACGTGGATCTTCCTGCCTCAGCCTCAGGGCTGGGATGACAGGCAGGCACCACCACACTGGCTTCAGCTCGGTCTTTGTAAACCCTGCTCGTCCACCTTGCTGCTTCCCTGCTTTCTGCAGTGCTGGTGGCACTGAGCTGCTCCCAGCCCTTTTGATTTCAAGACCGTCTCGCTAAGCTGCCCAAGCTGGCCTCAGACCTGTGATCCTCCTGCCTCAGCCTCCCAAGTGCAGGAATGAGAGGCATGCGCCGACACACCTGCCATTTCTTCCCAATTTTCACGGCAGCTTTCTCTAAACCAGAGGCCAAAATATCTCTAAAGCACACAGACCACTGCCAGACACCAGGCTGCTCCCAGACAAGCAGGAAAGCCATCCATTTGCGAGCTGACAAACTGACTTCTGAAGTCCAAAAAGTCCAACTATCAGAAGCAAGAAAACCGCACAAAACCCAGGAGCCCAGTGCCAGCCACGTGTCCTCTCTGACCGGAAATCACCACGCTCACCAGAAGCGCTGTCCCACGTGGCCAAGGGAAGAACACAGCCAAACCAGGGGTCCCCTCCACAGGGACAGCTCCTTCCTGGGGACAGCCCACACCTGGCTGCTGCAGCCACATGAGGTCCTGTAGTTCTGCCGCACCAAGGCCCATTTCTTTTTGGAGATGGGGTCTGTGATGGTGCTAGGCGATGGCCGCCTTGGCCTTCACAGCAGCCGGGACTAGAGCGTGGGCCACAGCGTGGTGTTCCCTTTGTTCTAGCAGGACTCGATCAGGTCCTAACATAAACAGCACAGAAGCGGCGGGAGGCGGAGCTGGCCTCGGGGATGACGCCCCACTCTGGGCTCTCGTCATCAGCCGTGGGGTCACAGAAACGACCTGCTGGTCCCCAGTGTATGGTCAGGGATTTGCTGGGAGGGACCCTCTCACCGTTTAAGAAAGCAGCTTCCGATCCGAGAGCCAGGCCTACTCTCTCCTGGTGCGGACCAGGGTGGACATCCCCGCGACTGCAGGACACTGTCCAGGTCCGTGAGGGACCAAGTGTCCCTGCTGCATGGCCTGTAGGTCCTCACCCGGGGACAGCACAGACAGCCTGGAGGGAGACGCACTGGCCTGGGTGCACCGGAGCCCATGGCAGCCTGAAGGACGCCCTGCTCAGCAAAGGGTCAGAAGGCTGAGGGGGGACAGTGCCTCCCGCCCTGGCCCTGCCAGCTCCTCATTCAGGCTTTGCTGCCCGGCTCCCTACAAACCCTGATCTCGGTCAGCCGGGGCCGAGGCCCCATCTCCACCTGCTATCCCTGTGGCCCGTGATTGGGAGCGGCCTGTTACCCTCCAGCTGCTCCCGTCAGCCATGCCCCCGTCACCGCGGGCCCCTCTTGGCCGCCCAGGCAGGCAGGGTCCGCATCAAGCCAGCTTCTCCTGTGCCCAGTGCTACCCACTGTGGCGAGAAGCTGAACAGGGCAGGGAAGGTACTTCTGCAGCGGCGAGGACCCTGTCCGGCCCCTGGCAGACAGCAGGGTCTCCCCAGCAGGCCACGCCCTGTCCCTCGGCCACCAGGCATAGCTGGTGTCAGGAGTGTCTGATTCCGCTGGGGTGCGGGCCGGCTGCCCGGTCTCCCGGGCGCTACACGTCGTAGCGGTTCAAGGTGTAGGAGTGGGGCTGGCCGGGCCGGCCGTACTGAAAGTGATCTGTGAGGACGCTGCTGCGGCTGTACTGCAGGTCCCCATGTGGGGGCAACAGGACGCCATTGTGGGGCCGCTCCCTGCCACCTAGGTCCGCCGTGGACACGGGCAGCAGGTGCTTCTTGGCCTGCTGGTTTGCATCGTACTTGGTCTGCAGGAAAGAGAGCAAGGACAGAGTCAAGGGCATCCTCCAGGAAACCTGAGAGTGGGGCCACCAGCCTTCGCCAGACATGGAGGCACAGGCTCACAATCCCAGCTTCCTGGGAGGCTGAGGCAGGAGAGCTCAAAAGAAGTCCCAGGGGGAGCTTGGTGCTGAGTGCTTGTCTAGCAGGCAAGAGGCCTGTGTGCCAACCCTGGCCGGCCTCACAGGAAGGAACCAGTCGGGCCAGCCTCAAGTGGTGTCCCTGTGGGGGACGGACAGGCGGGGGCGAGGCCCCACCGGCTGGTCTGTGAACTCAGAGAACCAGCTGAGCGCAGCCAGTGCGGCCAGGAGAGGGACAGCAGACCAGGAGCGGTGGCCGTGTCACTCACCTTGTTATACAGGAAGACACCCAGGATGGCGGTCAGCATGCCCAGCACGTTGGTGCTGGTGACGGGGTTGCGCAGCATGACCAGGGACACGGTGATGACCATGATCCTCTTGGTGGCGTTGGCGACGGAGTAGCTGAGCGGGCTGATGAGGTTGAGGATGGTGAAGGCGATGACGTTCTGCGCGAAGTTGCAGAAGCCACTGACAGCCAGGAGCAGGAGCGTCCAGGGCCACTGGGACAGGGAGATCTGCGGACAAGGGGCAAGGACGGTGTCGGTGGCCAGCGGGCACTGCCTGCCCTCTCTCTGATGCACACTTCACGGCGGGTGGGGGATGCCGCCCACTGCAGCAGCCGGAAACAAAGCAGGAGGAGCCCGAGCAGAAGCCCAAAACCAGAGTCCCCACTGTCCCCTTACAGCCACCAAGGTGGCCTTGCTGATCTCCCTGGTGCAGCTCAAGCCACTCCGGTGACAATCAAGATTCACTATCAGGTGGAGGGGTGAAGGGAGGGCAGGGGAATGGGGAAAAGTGAGAGCCAAGATCTGTCATGTAAAGATACCAATAAACTCAAAATAAATAAATAAAAGATTCACTGTCAGCCCGGTGGGTTGTTGGTGCCTGCCTGTGACCCCAGCATTCTGGGAGGCTGAGGCGGGAAAATCTCAAGTTCCAGTGCATGCTGGGTAACTTAACATGACCTCATCTCAAAGTGAAAAATAAAAAGGGTGGGGGGTGGAGCTGAGTATGAAGGCCCCGAGTTCGATCCCAGTACTGTACAAAAGAGAGTAAGGAGGAACCATCACACGGCCCTCAGTCGGGGGGCGGCAAGCCGGGCACATGGTCTTGATGCCAGCTACTCAATCCACAAGCCCTCCACCCTCAGGATGCTCCCCGGTGTGCACACTGCCCCTGCCCACCACATCCAGCGTGCCGTGAGGGCAATGCCCAGAGCCGAGCGTGACCCCGGCCTTCTCCTGTCCAGTGCCTGGCCCCAGCGCAGGAAGGCACTGCCATCTCTACTGTTGTGAGCCCCGGGGCTCATTCTCCTCCACCACGGGAGACTGGCAAGACAGAGTCCCCTCCACCCACACCACGGCCACCGCATCTTGGCGTCCAGGGCTCCGAGACCACCAGAGCAGGAGGCCCAGCACAGCTGCACATGCAGGCGAGAAGGAATTGTCCAGCACGTGCTTGAGTCACCGCACGGAGCTGCATGTAGAAAGCACGGCAGCAAAGTAAAACTGGCTGTGGATGTCAATCGGCTTGAAGGTTCAAGTTCATTCTCGAGCATCACAAAAAAGGGAAGGCAAAAGTATCCCCACAGTGTGTTGAAGGCTGGGCCCCAGCCTGTGGTCCCACCAGGAATGGAGGGACCTCTGGGGGAGGAGCCCGTGGTCACCAGGCCCCTCTCGTCCCTGGCCGCCCTGCGTCCCTGAGGGGAACAGCTGTCTTTACAGTGCTCCTGCCACAACAGGCTGCACTGCCACAGGCCCAGGGCAGCGGGGGCAGGCAAATCAAGGACAGACGTGACCTCCGGAAAACGTGAGCCCAGGTAACCCTTGGCCTCCTGGGGCCCGACCGCGTCAGGTTCGGCTGCAGGACACTGGCCGACAGTGTGGGTCAGCTGGCCCGCTGCTAGGAGAAAGGCCAACAGAGCGGGGAGGGTGGGTCCCGAGGCCTCAGCCCAGGGCTGGCTGGCTCCTGGCCGCGGCTGGGAAGTGGTAGGTGACGCGAGGACATCGCGGGACACAGGCCGGGGAAGGGCCGAGATCAGACCTACCCCAAGCTCAGGGACCTGCCAGGACGGGGCGTCCCTAATGTCCTGGGGCTCCCCCAACAGGGAGCTCGAGTCAGGACGAACCATCGCGATGGGGCCGTGGGACCCTGCCTTCCTACTTCTGGCGTCTGGACAGGATTTCCTCCTGCCACACACGCCGCTGCTGCGCCCCATGACGCGCTGAGGTCGGGGACCCTCGCCCAGGCTGCACCCCTTTCTTTACGATACCGGCCCGTGTCAGGTAACGCATCGCAGCAATGGACCAGACTGCTACAGATGCCAGAACACGCCGGTGAGACCCCACAAGCACCGGCTCCGGACGGTCAGGAAGGGGTGCGCTCTCACCAGGTCGCCGTTGATGAGGAACGCCGAGAGGTCCACCAGCACCCACGTGGGGATCATGAAGAACACGGCGTGGCAGCCCAGGATGTTGAGCAGCCGGAGATGGTGGATGCGGGAGTCTCTCAGCACCTGAGCAGGGGAGGCCCCGTGAAAGGCTGAAACTGAGAGCAGCCAGAGGGGCCCCGGCCCCCAGGCCTCCGTCCAGGGACGGTGCCAACCCCAGCATCCGACCCGAGCACCAAACGCCAAGCTCATATTTGACCAGTCAGGCAGCACGTGCCCAAAAGAAGCACAACGTCCCATGGGTGAAAGACCAGGAAAAGAAAAACAAAAAGAACAGTAACACTCAGTGCTGGTGAAGGTGTGGCGAAAGAGGCCCTGTACGTCTCCCTAGAGTAAGTGGGACGTAGTGTAGCCTCTCTGGACACAACGAGTATTGGCAATGCTGGCAACACTGCATCCTTGCTGACCCAATACAGGGAAGAACCAGCAGTCAAGAAAGCCTTCTGCATAAAGTTGGCCATGGGAGAAGCTGGAATGGCCTGTTTCCAACAGGACAAGGGCCTGCGTGAACATGGCACGTGACAGTTACAGGGTCCAAAAAGATGGAATGGTCAGCGACATGGTAAAAAAGTTATTGGAGGGCCGGGGATTTAGCTCCACGGTGCTGTACCTGCCTCACAAGCACAAAGTCCTGAGTTCGATCCCCGGTACCAAAAAAAAAAAAAGTTCTAATCGACAGTACCCAAAGCAAGAATGTGAAACCATGTCTATCCTACTGCAATTCCAAGAAATGCCAGGAGAAACTAACAGGAATAGCCATTCCCTTAAGCTTGGGGTGAAGCTGAGCCACAGAATGCTTGCCTAACATGCTGGAGGCTCCGGGTTCCATGCTGAGCACCGGAAAATCTCCACACCCAAACCCCAAACTGGAATAAGAACAGAGGCCCAAAGGGGGCCAGTGTTATCTCCCGCAGACCACACTGTGATGTGAGCTCATACAGGAAACCCCTGACCGGGCAGCCGGGTCCCTCTGGGCTCTTTATCCCCAGCGTCCCTCAGTAAGCTTAACAAAAAAAGTTCATGGGTGTGAAGAAGCACACCTGTAACCCCAGGGCTCTGGGAGGCTGAGGCAGGAGGGTCACTAGTTTGAGCCCAGCCTAGGCAACTTAGTGAGACTCTGTTCTGAAAATAATAAAAAGGCTGGGGATGCAGCTCAGTCAATCAAGGACCCAAGTTCCATTGCCCATGCATGCTGCCAAAAATTCTTTTATGGGGCTTTTCTCTTTTTCTTAGTGTTGTGTATTAGTTTTATAACAGAACAACATCAACAATTTAAAACGCAAAGGAAAAAGAAAGCGAGCAGAAAGAAGGTAACAGGGAACCCCGCTCCCCAGCAGGCAGCCCCCGCCCGCCACGCCCACCCGCACCTTCTTGGAGAAGATGTTCTGCAGCGAGAAGCACAGGGTGGCCGCCAGGGCGCTGACCAGCCCCCACACGTCGAAGGACAGCTCGGTGACGGTGGCCAGCAGGACGCCACCAATGATGGGGATGAGCGACAGGTACACCTGGGGGCAGGAGCGGGGAAGGGACACAGCCCGGGGCTGCTGAGGGGGCAGGGACAGGGCTCCGGTCCCCGTGCTTCACCTGACGGGGCAGTCCCCATCCAGCGTGACCTCCAGGAGGGCCTTGCCCTGTGACTGCGGCCCTTCCAACCCCAAGGGGCTCGCGCCGGTCCGGTCAGCTCCTCCATACGGACCTCGGTTCACCCCGACGGGAGAACACCTCTCCCATCCCCCTCCACCCTGGGTGTCCCCAGGCGCGCTCCACCCACCGTGCCTGCCCAGGAGGCTGTTCGGTCCCCACCAGACCAGGAATGACTCCGGGGCAGGCCCCGTCTGCCGCCCTGTCCAGTGCCCAGTATAGAGCGGACACTCAGGAGCTGCTCTCTGGCGCCTGTCACAACGTGCACTCAGCAGCTGCCGGCACAGCGCTCTCCGTGCCTCCGCACAGATTTCCTCAGTCTTGGATCACCCTCGAGGGACAAGGAAGCCACTTTTGTGGCCCCAGGATGGAATTCGGAGCTTTCAACTGAGGTGCATCCCCTGCTGACCCTCGAGACAGGGTCTTGCTGTCGAAGCTGACCAGGCTGGGCTCAAACTGGTGTCCCCCTTGCCTCTTCCTCTCCGAGTGCTGGGCAGAGAACAGCTTCGGAACAAGGCAGAGATTCAGTAAGCAGGGGAGATGACGTCCCCCGTCCCTGGCTGCACACCAGAGGACGTGGGATTCCGGCGTAGCCCTCAGGGGTTTGACCCCGCTGTGGGGTCCTCTTTCTTCCTGAGCTCGGGAACAAGGATGACCTGCCTTATCCGCCTGGTAGCCCAGGTCCCCACAAAGCTATCCCTTCACTGTCACCCAGCTGCCTGCTCCCCAGTCTCTGCTCACTGTGTATGGTGCAGGGTGCAGTGTCCCAGACGACAAGGAAACCTGATAAACACGACGTGTTATCATGTGATACAGGTGAGCCTCCCGGTGAGTCCGACCCCCAGGAGGCCAGTCACACCTGACATCACCCAGAGGCCAACTGTAGGGCTCACACAGGTCTTGCGACAGAGAGACAGGCTGCAAAGGAACTCAGTCAGAGGTGGCCCGATTTCTATAAGCTGATCCAGGGCACAGCGCCCAAGTTACATAAAATACAGGATGCCGGAAAGCAAGCCCTCGAAAAGCGTGCTGTGTCCGGCAAAAAATGGGTTCCAGCTGGAACAGCTAGAGTCCTGTTTCCACCTAAGCACACAGTAAGGGTGGGTCTGACCAAAGTCATGGGCTTGCTCACCCCAAGGCAGGAAAACACCCGCCGGGCACCCTCGGCGGAGCACGCGGTCACCCGCATCGTGTGTGCTCACACTTTCCTTCACGGGGAGAACCCTGGCGGGGCCTGTTGCTCGCTGCAGGGCCTTGCCCTCATCAGGTCGTAAAGTCCCCTACCTGACCAGGCGGAGGAACACACTCCAGGCTGTGGACCCTTCCCCTGGCCCCACTGCAGTGACCTGCGGAGATGTGACCGAGCCACCACCTACCGGCCAGCCCCGGCAGGGGAATGAAATCAGGAGGACGTCGGCCACACAGGGGAGACCACCGCCTCAAGGCGGTCGGCAGGGCGGGCCCAGGGCTGCGGGAGGCCTCTCCTCGACTTCCTCATCTGACGGAAGCCAGGCAGGGAGCGGGACACGTCACCAGCGCAGGGCTGCGGGCGATGCCCACCTCCGGGGCTCCTGCCCGGCTTACCTTGGTGCTCTGCTTCTCCTTCATGATGATCCGGGACAGGAGGACCACCCAGATGGGCATGGTGGCCTTGACTGCGGAGAGAGGGGGCACTCAGGCTTCTAGCCGCACACCGCAGCCCCACACGCTGCCCCCGCCCCCGGGGCCGCAGCACCCACCAGTGTGCGCATAGGACACGGGCACCTTCCAGATGCTGACGTGCGCCGACACCGACGCGAAGTACTTGCCGAAAGCGAGCGGCAGCACGTAGCGCGGGTAGAAGCGCGG